TTCAGGGAGTAGACTGTAAATATGGGCCCCAGGTTGACAATTAGAACCTGAACCCACGATACTACATTTTCATTCTACGATTATACTTGGTCATAGTTTGGTGTTGTGTTTTAGCGAGTTAGAGACATACTGTGCAAAGGGATCCCTTTCTTATAAAAAATATGAGTTCATAACGCCCAAGTGTGCATAATGTACCAAATCATCAAATACAACCTTACTGTCGACAAGTTAAAAAGATTGTTGTGATGGCTTCGAGAATCTCTGGGTCCCAATGTACCACCACTTTCTAGGACGGGTACCTCTAGTCTGCCACAAAGAGAGCTCCAGAGGAAAAAAGCCTCTAGGGACACATCACGGTAGTGGGAAAGGAGAGGAACCTTAAATCTGGCTAATCCAAATCCTTGAAGGTCAAGCTCCTTAACCAACAATAGCTTCCTGGAGGTGGTACATCCAAAATTTTCTACTTGCATCGATGACCATAGAGGTCACTTTAACATCTCTATTTTGGATGCTTTGGCAGCATACAAAATGATAGTTCGCATACCAACAATCCTTTTTAATTGACCCAATTTTAGGCAGTGTGAGTAACCATGTTGAGGAGGTGACATCAAACTACAGAATCGGTCTAGGGAGGAGGAAGAGAGGTGATCATCCACTACGGGGATGAGCCACTCCCTTCGACATTCCAACCTGGAGCTCATGATACAGAGGCTTCTTCTTCTGCACCTCCTCCACCAACTTGCTAGGGGGACATCTATGATGTTGTAGAGGCTATGTGACAGTGCCAGATAGAGACCAACATCAACATGACATGGTATCATGCCATGAGTAAGGTGCAATGGGATGCCCATCGAAGGGCAGTGGACAACTTTGGACACCACCGAAGCCTGAAAAATGGGGTAACGGCCATACTAGAATCTCTAGTTCATGAAAACGAGGAGGGGAGATGTTAGATGGACAACTACGATCCTATTATGGATGATGAACATCACTACCAGTCTCTCAGACAAGGATGAGGTTGAGAGTAGTACCTTACCTTTCTTTTTCTTATGTTGACAAGACTAAGCACTTGCTCCTTGTCTGTTTTGTATCCCCTAAACAATGTGGATATGTAAGATCGACTACTTCACCTTCATTCATGTTATGAACTTTTTTACATTCGAGGTATTATTGTTCTTCCATACCCTTGCTCTTCTATTATGTGGTCTATCGAGGACAATCTCATGTGTAATATGTGGGGTGGAGTTGAGTCGACTATGCTTGCATTTATGATGCATTAATTTCAAAAATTGGTGACCGTTTTGGTATTTGTACAATTACGACTTTCATTAGCCAATGTAACCCGAATTTGCACCAGAAACCCAACAACTCAAGAGGAGCACATAGATTGAGTTTTAGTACAAACGCGTTTTGTCAATTAAGGTTGTATGTTTCTTATGAATCATAAATCTCCATTTTTTCTGTCAATGTGAGATTTGTCTATGATGTTTCACATCTCTTCTCGTCCATGATTTCCTCTCTCATAATTTCCCCCATTCCTCTCCTCTATTTTCTATTAAATCGTAACAAAAAAAAAAAAGAGAGAATAGAAAGACTAGGCGGGAGGAACATAATTTATCAAAAGAAAGTATTACAAATTTACTCGGGTTAATTGCATTGTTGGTCACTGAGATTACAAAAAACGTTCATGTTTGGTCACTCAAAATATTTAAATCCATTTATGGTCACTACATTTAGTAAAACAATCCAAATTTGGTCACTCTCCGTCCAACTCCGTTAACTGTGTCTGATGTGGCAGTCAACTCTCATAATTGACCGTTAAATGTATGACATGGCAATAAAAAAAAATTGAAATTTCCAACTCATTATCACTACCGCAAAAATAAAATAAAATAAATTATTTATATTAATTTTCTAATTCAAGTGGGTTTGTAAAGCTAAAGTAGAGAGAGAGAAGCAAGAGTTTTGGTTGAGTTTCAGATTACCGAAAGGGATCGCTGATACTGAAAGATAGATAATTCAGTTGAGAGGTGGAGCAGACGACAGAATCAAGTAGTTGGCGTGCAAGATCTGATTGATTGAGCTTTACTTACTTTTCGAGTAAAGACGGTATTTTCTCCGGCCAATTGGATGGATGGAGTTTTGATGACGGGGACGGGGGAAAGAATCAAAGATGTCGACAAAATTGATTCCTACTGTAACACTCAAGAAAAAACCAACCGAATACTAGCTAGCATTCGTGAAAATTTGGGGGGGAAAGCTCACGGAGACGGTGGCCGGACTCCATCACCGTCGAGTTCCCAACCCACCGCCAAGTGTCGACTACCTCCAGGCCAACGCCGGCCGGTTCCTACTCGCCCAGCACATCATATTCAACGCTAAAGTCGTTGGCGTCAACTACAAGGGAGTGGCAGAGGAGGTGCTGAAGGCCGACACCTCTGGGGTGGAAACAACGAGGGTTTCGGACCCAGGGGAGGGAGATGGGAAGTTGAAGTGAAGGTCGTCGGCGGGTGTTCGTCGGAGAGTGAAATTTACGAAGACAATTTTGTGGTGCTTTGCTTGGGGAAGTTCAGCGACGGGCCGAATGTTCCTGAGTTTGCTCGTGGACAGGGACCTGAAGTGATTCATTCCATGGGGTATTCAGATTTGGAAGCAGAGGAGGCTCGGGATTTAGTCAAAGAGAAGAGGGATACTGTTTTTTGATTCCGAAAAACAGCTTGACATCGCCATGGAATGCTCTGAATTCGGGATAGGGGAAACTGGGAGCTCGCGCGGCGAGGATGACAACGAAGAGCGCCGACAAGGTTTCGACGAGGAGACTGGGGGCTGTGGGGTCCTTGCGGCGGAGAAGGAGCGACGGTGGCGACGGAGGTGGGAGTGAGGTGCAATTGATAATTAGTGAGGTTTAGGGTTTTTTATTTTAGTGGTAATGATAATGATGTGGAAATTTCAAATTTAATTATTTATATTTTTTTAATTGCCACGTCATACATTTAACAATCAACTATGAGAGTTGACTGCCACATCAGATAAAGTTAACGAAGTTGGACGGAGAATGACCAAATTTGAATTGTTTTACTAAATGTAGTGACCATAAATGGATTTAAATATTTTGAGTGACCGAATATGAACGTTTTTCGTAATCTCACTGACCAAACAATGCAATTAACCAAAATTTACTCACATGCTGCCATTATTATTTATGTATATAGATAGCGGTTCGAAAAAGATAGTCAAAGTACACCTGGTGTATATGCTGTTATCAGTTTATGCTAGCTATAAAAACACTTAATGTTAGGCTTATAAAGTGTTTAGCCCGACATTAACTTTTGAATTACAAAAATACTTTAGAAATATGGGCACTTAACCCAGTTGTGAACAAAAATGAAACAAAAGTAGTCAAATACTTGACTTGTGGAAGGGAGCAAATGCGTCAGTCAGGTGGGCAAATTGGGTTCACTGTGTAGTGGCAATTCAATATACAGCGAAAGGGACACCTGGCCCTAAACTCCACTTGAAAAAACAACTGAACAAGAACCATCATCATATTGATAATTTTTAGTGAAGGTCACGTCATTTCATTGTCGATGACATGGTGCTGGTGGTGGTGGATATAATTAGTACAAAACAACCCAAACCAACAAAATTATAATAAGTCCAAAAGAAAATGAATGAATAAACAAACAGACAAAATGAATTGTTTTTAGAGGGATGGTGGAGATTGGGATCTTTGTTTTCTTTCAAGAGTCGACCTATCCCATCTGTTTTGACCTATATACCAAAAATAAAAAAAAATCACCATAGAAGGAATAAAGCCGCCATAGATATTCAGTTTTGATTTGTGCAAATGAACAGCAAGGAATTTACTCGCGGCAAACGGGCAAAGAGAGGAGTGAATATTTGTTTGCAAGGATAGGGGGCGTATTGGTAAAAGGAAAAGCGATGTCCGGATGAATCTTGTTGACTGTAACTTGATGATCCAAATGGGATCTATCACCAGGTTAACTTTTGACCGATTTTATTTGTTTGTTGTTGGACACAAGGTTGGAATTCATAGTGTGATATATGTTCTCATATCAATTTTTAGAAGTTTAAATAAGTTTTTGGAAAATTTAATATTTTCCGTTAATTAGCGATCTAATTAAGCTCCATTAGCAAAACCAGAGTTGCAAAAACAAAATTGGGGCAATCATCCACAAGTACAATAGGATGATTGGAAGTGACGGAGTGGTTGATTTTTTGTTTTGTTTTTTTGTTTTTATGGGTTAGATTATACATTTGGTCACTCAAATTATATAATTTTTTTATGTTTGTCATTCGAATTATTTTTCTTTTTTATTTGCCACTAATTTTACGAATCGTTTTTTTTTATGAATAATTTTTTTTACGAATCGTTTCACCGTTAGTCACTAGCTCTTATACTCTTTTAAATTTGTCCTACGTGGCAGTCAACTATAAGTTAAATTGTTGATTAGATTAGGGGTGGCAACGGGGCGGATCGGGGCCGGGTACCCTGGATCCGTTGCCCACCCACCATGGGCCTCGGGTATCCCCGTCCTCGGCCCAAACTAGACTTGCGGGCCTGGATGGATAACCATCTCCGTCCCCAATGGTTAATCGGGTGCCCGTGGGTCTATAATACCCCGCTACCAAACCATGAAAATAAAAATGAAAATGACAAAAAAATTCTGGAAACTGGACACTTTATTCATACTGACTGGTCTGTTAAAACTTAAAAAGACTTCAAATAAACAACTGAAACTCTGAAAGCTTGCCAAGCAGCTCAGCAACAACAACCAAAAACAACATCTGTTTCGTGTTTGTGATAGAAATGATCAAATCAAATGAACCAAACAACCAAATAGAAGGACGTTCCCAAAATTCTAAATCTTATCCAAAAACAGTAGAATGAAATAGGTTCAAGCAACAGCAACAACAACGCAGCAACATTCCATCTAGGTTCCAGCAACATCGAATCATTGAGAAATCATCCACCCGACCACCCCTGACCCTCATTCCAATCGATGTAAACCAGCAGACCAGCAATCATCAATTGAAACTGAATAAAGTACACAAAAGAGGAATGATTCAGTTAGTAAAGACTAAATGAATAATGCATCAACGAAAACAAATGAAGAAGACATTTACCTTGGCCCCACAACAGATTACCAATCAGTCTTCATGGGCAAATGGTGATCTCATTAAGGTGAGTTCTGGACCTGAAAAAGCGAAACAATGCAAATATAAGTATTCCTCAATGAAGTAATAGAAATTAGAACACATTATGGAAAAATGATTTATTGATCTTACCACCAGGTTCTGCCTCTTCCACAGTTGTATCTTCGAGTGTCATTGTTGAGAAGAGTCCATCCAATGCCTCCACAACAGCCTTCGAATATGCAGAGAACTAGTTGAATGAGTTCATACTATTATTAAAACGTAAACCAATAAACTTGAGAGATATAGTTGCATTTTACCTCGTTGCATGTCCTCCATTATCCAACTCCTAGTACACATCATTGCCTCCACAGTTGAATAATGCAGCCTGCTCTGGTGAGGGTCTAACAACCTCCCACCAGAACTAAATGCACTCTCAGAAGGCACAGAAGTAATAGGGATTGCCAGAAAGTCCCTTGCAATTGATTGCAAGGTCGGATACTTCAAACCATTCAATTTCCACCACAAGAGCAGATCAAAATCTGCTGTGCGAGGAATGATATCCTCAGCAAGATACATATCCAACTCAGTTGTAATCAAGGAAGTACTCTTTTTCCTTTGACTTACAAAGAGTTCAAAGTCAAGTTCAGTGGCAGAGGCAGATCCAGAACCAGAAGAAGAAGTTCCAGTTTCAGAACCAAATTTTTTCTCAGCTTTGGTTTGATAATCACGAATCAAACCACATATCATTTGCTTGATATTCTCAGCAACCAAACCAGTTTCTGTATTCCCAAACTTTCCAGCATAGTATTCAATCACATGGAGTTTATATCTAGGATCCAAAACAACCGATACAGCAAGCACAAGATGGATATCATCCCAGTACTTATCAAACTTCAGTAACATTTGACTAGACATTCCAAAAATCACAGGATTGGGATCAAGACCCCACTCATTCAGTTTAAGTCTGAGATCACATATCTTAGGGAAGAACAGATTGTATTGAGAAGCAGAGAGTTGAGGATTTCCAACAGGTTTATAGTTAGGCCCAAGTATTTTTTGAGAACCATCATGTATCCTCTTTTGGATACATGTTTTGATATGGGTTCTTAGATGTGAAGTTCCATTACTTGTTTCCCCACCAAGGGATTTACGACAGTACTTACACCTAGCCTTCATAACCCCATTAACCCTAACTCGGTTAAAGTGAGGCCACACATCAGAGGTTAACTTACGTTGAGCTTCAAGCTCCTCAACATTACCTGGTTGTTCAGGTTGAGGTTGGACAGGTTGTTCAGGTTGAGGTTGGACTTGGACACCATTTTCAGGGACATTCACATTGGGAGCAAGGTCAACATTTATAGCAGGAGCACCTTCCATATGAACATAATATATATTAAGCCTTAGTTAATACTTAATAGTTATTAATTTAGTTACATTCCATCTTAACATTAAGCCTTAGTTAATAGTTATTAACTTAGTTACATTCACAATGACAAAACTAAACTTGCAAACAAACATCTTTAGCAGCAAAATCACGCTTACAGTTTAATTAATTTTACTTATTAGCTTTATGAATCCACTGATTGTCACAACAAGTCGCAACATTATGAACAAACAGTCAAACACATTGAGTTGAGGCTTAGGAGAGGACTGGGATTACCTTCTCGGATTGGAGTTTTATGTGGACTGTTGAGTACCCAATGACAATAGACTGCTCCTCACTGCTCACTGACTCTGTTCTGCTTCAGTTCTCTAAACCAGTAAACCCGATCCAAAGTTCCAAACAAGACCAACCTAGCCCAAACAAGAGTGAACAAGAAGAGTCAGTGAACAACGAACACAAAGCAAGTTAGAACTGGAATTTAATGCATGTATGTATTATGAGACCACTAACCCTAGACGAGATCAAGAAGCTTACCCTCGACGACTGGACTCTGTCTGGAGGCTCGGGCGCTCGGCTAAATCCCTCGGTCTCTGCTCTCTGTTGACTCGACGGGGGGTGTTCTTGTTCTCGATTTCAGAACTCAGAAGATGGCGTGGTGAGAAACGACCTCTGCGCTCTAAATCCCCCCTATATATACGAGTACAAGAAGAGTCAGTAGAGAGTTAGGGGAACGGGGAATCAGGGAAGATACTTGAAAGAAAAGATAAGAAACCTAGAATTAACTTATCTTTTCTCGAAGAATCAGCGATTTGGACTTCCAACGAGGCAACGACTCGTTTTTGGACTGCGGCCGACGAAATCTTCGTCGGATGTTTGCTCTTTGAGCCATGCAATTGATCGAATGGAGGAATTGATGAGGGGAAATGACGAAAAATCGGCCAGATCGCGATTATCTAGCGATCTGATCGCTAATCGCCAGAGAGGAGGCAGAGAGAAGAAGGAAACTAGGGTTTATGTTCGTTTGGTGAAGAATGGAAAATGAGGCGGCTGCTAGGGTTTCTCTAAGGGAAAGCAAGGATTATATATCGCCCTACAAACGCCGTCGTTTTTTACACGGTTAAGCCGTCGGGCGGGTCGCGGGGCGGATACTGGGCTAACCACCGCCGCCCGAAAACCATGTTTGACGGGTTTTGGGTTACCCGCCACCCGTTGACGGGCCAGAGAACACCAACCACATGGGCCCTTATTGGGCGGGCTTCGGGCGGATACCTAGATTTGGGCCCCGGCCTGCCATCCCTAGATTAGATGACGTGGAAACGGCTTAATTGCAAGTTTGGTCACTCGAATTGCTTAAAAATTTCACGTTTGCCACCCGAATTGATTTATTCCATTTATAGTCACTCGAATTAGTTGAACAGTCCAAGTATGGTCACTCTCCGTTAACCTCCGTTAATGACGACCGTTAAGTGATGACGTGGCTAACAGAAAGACACAGTTAGCACATTTAAACATTAAAAAAAGACAACCCGACCCGCCAGCTCACCCTTACCCGCCCAGTCAGCCATTTTTGCCCAAACCCGCGAACCAGACCCAATTAACTGACCCTAAACCCAAACCAGTGACCCAACCCCCCCTGAAAACTAAACGCAGATGGATTAGGGCATTTCCCTTCTCCATCTTCATCCTCTCATCCTCCCTCCCGCGCCGCCTCTCTACTTTGCAAATCGTCGTCGAATGGATGGAGGCCGCCACCGCCGCGCCGCCGCCCTAAATCCCTCACCCCTCCCGCGAAGTTCTTCCTCCGCCGCGAAACCCTAAATCGAAGCGCGCTGCTGTTTTCCCCCTTTTGCAACCCCCATCGGTTTCTTCTCTCTCGACTCTTCGCTCGCCCAGTTCTCCGTACAGGCGGCATTTGAAACGAAACGACAACTTGGGAAAACCGTGATTTGAGAGTTTTCTTCTCAGCGAGGAATTCAAGAGCTTCTACTTCGCTAGTATCTTCCCGGTGACCTGTTTCTTGTTCAGAAACCTGATTTGGTGGCGGGTTTCTTCTTTTTGGGTAAAGAAAAGGAGGGTGGTCAGCAAAGAATGATGGACATGAGTAAGTTTGATGTGCATTTGAGATTGTGGGCGCTCAGGATTCCTCGAGAGCTCTGCAAGGTGGCCACTCGCCTCCTCAATGGGTAAGCAAGCAAGAATACGAGACTGCTGCTGTATTTCTTGTTGTTTGGCCTTATTTATATTTCAATGGAATTTGCAAAGTAGAGAGGCGGCGCGGGAGGGAGGATGAGAGGATGAAGATGGAGAAGGGAAATGCCCTAATCCATCTGCGTTTAGTTTTCACGGGGGGTTGGGTCACTGGTTTGGGTTTAGGGTCAGTTAATTGGGTCTGGTTCGCGGGTTTGGGCAAGAATGGCTAACTGGGCGGGTAAGGGTGAGCTGGCGGGTCGGGTTGTCTTTTTTTAATGTTTAAATGTGCTGACTGTGTCTTTCTGTTAGCCACGTCATCACTTAACGGTTGTCATTAACGGAGGTTAACGGAGAGTGACCATACTTGGACTGTTCAACTAATTCGAGTGACTATAAATGGAATAAATCAATTCGGGTGGCAAACGTGAAATTTTTAAGCAATTCGAGTGACCAAACTTGCAATTAAGCCACGTGGAAACATAAGAAAATTAATTTTTTATTTTTTCACCTCACCATTTCACATACTTTGTCTAAAAGATTTATCATATTAATTATTTAATAAAAATATTAAATTGCAAAAATTAATTATCGGCGGGAGGAAGAAATTGCAGAGGCGGCGGACCCTCGATTTAACCCTAATCCAATTCTTCTTCATCTTCGCTTCGTCGGGTCTTCACAGCGACGACATGAATTCATTCCCCGAGGGTGGACCAAGCCCGTGAGGGTGGCGAGCATGAGAAATATGGGTCGGCCAAGGATTCGAATCGCGAGCCAAAGGTTGGTGGGCTTTGTGGATGGCCGGGAGGTGGGGGAGTGGTATCCGGGGATTTTGAGCTCGGCGGCGACGAGGAGCCTTAGCGGTGCTGGAGAAGTCGAGGATTAGGGCGTGGACGACGGCGGTGCAAGGATCGAAGGTGGGAATCTGGCGAGAAGAAGAGAAGAAGGGAAATTTGGGAAAGAATGGAGACGAAGAAGAGCTGTTTATTGATATCTATCTAACTGAAATTTGGTAAAGTAGCTATAGTTTGACAGTTGGGCAAAAAGATGAGCAATACACGTGAACTCTCCCTATTTATACATTTGCCAATATAGCACGCCTCTTGCCAGCTGGACCCAGGCTGTTACAAATCCCTCTCCCTTCAAAGCAGCTTGTCCTCAAGCTGGGAAGGCAGGGAACTGCGATTTGAAGCTGAGCAGGTCTTCCCACGTAGCTTCCTCCGGAGACTGATGAGACCACTGGACGAGGACCTGAGTGACAGCTCTATTGTCCTGCTGCACAAATCGTCGAGCGAGAATCTGACCTGGAGCTAACTTCAATGCCCCATTAGAGTCAACAGCAGGGAGGTGCAGTGTAGCAGGTGGAACAACAGAGCGGCAGAGCTTGAGCTGTGACACATGGAAGACTGGATGCACCTTCGATCCTGCAGGCAAAGCAAGTCGATACGCTACCTCTCCCACCCTCGCAAGCACCTTGTACGGACCAAAGTAGCGAGCATCCAACTTGTTACCCTGCCTACCCACCACTGAACCCTGCCGATAAGGTTGCAGGCGAAGATATGCCCAGTCATTGACCTGCAACACTCTCTCCGATCTCCTTCTGTCAGCGTACTGTTTCTGACGATTCTGAGCAGTGGTGATGTTGTGCGTGAGAAGCTGTACCAAATGATGGTAATTGGTGACTCGATCTTCCACAGCACCCACCTGAGTAGGCAAGACAGAACCCAAACCAAAGAAGGAAGGTGGAAACCCATAAAGAGCTTCGAACGGGGACATCTGTAGACTGATGTGGAAGTGTGTATTATAGCACCATTCAGCAAGAACCAACCAATCAACCCAGTCCTGAGGTCGATGGAATGACATACAGCGGAGATAATCTTCGAGGCAACGATTAACCCGTTCTGTTTGTCCGTCTGTTTGCGGATGATATGCAGTGGAGTAATGGATGTCAGTACGCTGTAATCGAAAGAATTCCGTCCAAAACACACTTGTGAAAGTGGCATCTCTGTCACACACTATTGTGGAAGGCATTCCGTGGTATTTGAAAACTCCCTCGAAGAAAATCTGAGCCACAGTAGCTTCTGAATAAGGGTGCGAGAGGGCAAAGAAGTGTGCTGACTTCGTGAATCGGTCAACAACCACAAACAGCACCTGCTTCCCCTTCGAGTTGGGCAAACCTTCGACAAAATCCATACTGATATCGCGCCAAGCTCTGGTGGGAATAGGGAGAGGTTGGAGAAGGCCTGGAGAAGCTAGGGTCTCGGTCTTACAACGCTGACAAACTTCACAAGTAGCAACCCACTGAACAACTGCAGACTTCATACCCCGCCAGTAGAAATAATTCTTAAGGCGTTGGTAAGTGCCTTGAGCACCTGAATGACCTCCTACAGATGAAGAATGAAAAAGATGGAGTAGCTTGGAACGCAAAAAACCAGTTGAACCCACCACTATAGCACCCCGATATCGAAGAATGCCAGATGAGAAAGACCATAAGGAAGGGCCAGCAACGTTCACCGCTGCTGCTGTAATCCACTCAGCCACCTCAGCATCCCCAACATAGGATTTCTCGATCTCCACCAGCCATTCAGGAAGCACTGAAGATAGG